GAGTAAGAGACTCCAAGGCCGGAACGTACGGTGACAGGTATTGTCAAAATACTTTATCTTTAAAGAAAAATGAAAAGAATATCACGACGATTAATACGAGAAACTTTGAAGAGAATAATAAAAAATCGAGCGACATGATAATTCGTCAAGAAAAAACGTCTGCATTGATAAGATTGATTTCCTCGAAAATGAATTCGTAATGAAAGTGTTAGGCATTACATTGCAGTTATTGGCTGGTGAATATAACCCTCTTGATTTATTTTTTAGAGTTGCAAAACTGGGATACCGAAACGGATACTTGTTTATACCTATAGAAGGACTTGGCGACAGTAAGTTTTACTTGAGTATTGTGGAATTTGCTTTTGAGTGCGCCTCAGTTCTTTTGGTCGAACACAATAGTAGTAATAAAAAAAATACAAACCAATCACCTTTCAATCTGGGCAAGCTGCCAGGGCTACGGTATTACTTATCGATAAACAAAAAAGACAAAAGATTTTAGACGAGATATTGGAATGCCTTTGCTACTTTTACGACAGTAGCATCATGGATGTTGGTTTGAGAGGTTATACCATTGATAAAAAAGAGATTCAACGAGTTGTATCTACTAGCATTCAATTCTGGAAAATATTTTCTCCATCAAAAATGACGAAACGGTCTCATCTTCTGGCGGCAGTTGCAAGACTAAGTAATGAGGATAAAAAGAAGAAGAGTAATATTTCGATTGAAACTATTTTCCATCGCAGTGCCATTACGATATTTGCTCACGATGACGTGCAACTGCCACCGCCAATGGAGGTATTGACCGTGAGCACGCATAACGATACAGCGAAATTTGTCATGGGGGGTTGTCTCTCTAACATTCCTACTGTAGTAGCCTGCAACCTCTTATACACATTAAAGGAAAAGACACCGCAACTGTTCTTAGACATATGTAACGAAATTACCCATATAGAAAGGAAAATGGCAACAATGTTGACTCTTGCCTTTTAAGTTTGAGTCGATTGTTAGTGAATAAGGGTTTAACGTACAAACAGTTTCGAAATTATTTTATGCCCCTATCAGAACAGAAATTACTACATTCGCTCTTTTCCAAAGTGCGAGAGTGGTTATCGACAGAAGAATGGTTTAGTCGCATGTGTATGATGAGGAAGGCTAATTATATATCTGCAGAATATACACGCGTGATAATGCGTCCTCATGACATTAATCAACTCTATGCCAGAGTAGATAATGATGATATAAACAATATAATTTGTGATAGCAATTTTATTATCGAGTGCCAATTATCCTTATGTAGCGATAATGAAAAGATGAAAAAGATAAACACGGGAAGTGACATAACAATTCGTTTAAACAGACAATACCATTTTTATCAATACTCTTTTTAATACACTGTTGTTAACAAATGCAAGACGCGATATGGTTAAATTTAAATTTTCAAATTGTAACTCTTTTGGGTTACCATCTATTGCACTTGTGTGTTATCAGTGATAATAATTTCTTCGTTTCAGGAAAGAAGATGGAAAACCACAGCAATCCTCATCACAACCATTTCCCGGAAAACTACAGCGACAATATACCTCATCGTCAATATCATCACACAGAAAACTACAGCGACAATATAACTCATCACTCGGAAAACTACGACAATATAACTCATCATCACTCGGAAAAATACAGCAACAATATATCATCATACAGAAAACTACAGCGACAATATAACTCATCATCACTCGGAAAACTACAGCGACAATATACCTCTTCCTTCTCATCGTCATCATCAATATCATCAAACCCATATCAATAAATCGTGTACAAGAGGACCAACCATTGTATGTTAACCTGTGATTCTTATCTTGTAGCTTGTAGTCACTATCCTACACTTAATACAGGTTACTCTGATTACCTAAAAGACATGTATGGTAGTAATAGTAGTCGTGGTAATAACACTAGTAATACTAGGAGAGTTAAAAAAGTGGTGAATACCACCGAGAGAACATTACTATATGTTGATAACAATAGTTTTGTATCACCATCGACTCTAAAGATTAATAAGGACAGTGAAAAGGTAACAACTATGGATGGTTTATTATCATTATCATTACCTTCCTCCTCTTCACCATCAGCGAAATAACGAGTTTCTTAAATATTGTATCGTTATTCATAAGAAGTGTTTTCATAAAAATTATCTTTGGTAATAAAGAAATGCAATTTTATATTTTGACTTTTATTCTCAAACATGTATTTATTTTTATATATAAAAAGACATCCGCACGATTCATTCACACTTTTTAGGGCACCCGTTTTTATTCTTTGAGTGCTGCCGTGTTCGTCATGATTATTTGTTAATGTAGTCTGTATGAAAAGAGGGTTAATAATGCTAGGTACTACAAGCATCTCGGTGGTATTCACGTTGGAGGTACTTCGAGCATTCCGTGGTTCTTGTATTAAAGAATTATTGTAGTTGTCTTTTCGTGCCAGCGAGGAAGACGTCTTTGAAGATTTAAGGAGATGACGACGACGATCATTACCGCTACTGGTAGCGAACTTGCTTTTCTTGTTAATGTCTCTTGGAATAGAGACAGGTGTTCCGGAGCGAGTACGTTCACTGGTTTCTTTAATATCTCCTTTACGCGATCTCGTACTTTAAACAACTTTTCCAATGTACACACATCGCCTATGTTTGTCAGGGATAATGTCACATGATTTGCTATCAGCTCGATTTGTATGAGTGGGTGGTGATCGTATTGAAAGGAAGAAGAGGAAAGATTGATTGTCTCATTAACATTGCTACCAACGAGAGAAGAGGATGAGTTGATTGGAGGAGACCCACTGACGATATCGTTAAATTCAATGGAAATCGGAGATGTCGGTATAGTGGCCAGATGAGTTACCACTAATCTTTGGTTTGGACTGTTCGTTATATCTGTCGTCATCTGTGTGATAATATTCGATATAAATAAACTTCTAAACATACCACTCCTTTCTATATTATCGAGTGTGGGTACGTTAGATAAATTCTCCATACCATTACCACAACTTAGGCTTACTTCACCATAGGTTATGGTTGATCTAAATTCTGGCGTCTTTAAAAACACGGATGGAACGTTAGCTGTCATTGAATCGATTATACGTCGGAAGATATCTGTAGCTGTTGTATTTACATATAATATTTGTTTCGAATCTATCATATCCGCTATGGATACCTGTGAAGGTAAACTGTTTTTATATCCTCATTTTTCCCTAATATGGTACTGTATTGTTTATCGTCTCCGATATCGAGATTAGAGTCGCCAGCATAGGAACACAATAAGAGGAAAATATTATGAAAAACAGCCAAAAAAGCTTCTCTTACATTTCTCGTAATCTGGATCATATTAACTAGAAGCTTATCGAGAGACTCGTAATCATAGAGTGTTTCTTGTCGAGACTGTATATGATGAATTTTTTTACCGGAAAGGCGGTAGTCATTTAATATTCTTCTAAGATGGAGTGCTCTATGACTGGCAACTATAAAAAACTTATCAACGCATTCTATCATCACAGACAGGAATGGGAGTTGATAGCATATTCTGTGCGTCTTCCACAACGAGGTCGACGGAGCTTGTAGCACGAGACGTCCAAATACCAATTCGAGTATATGAATGGCCATCACCATCGTGTCTCGTCTCGTTCCCTCAGAAAAAGTCTGTCGAATTAACCCATCTCTGTCGCAGTTGCTCTACGCCCGTGATTAGACCTATAACGCAATGTCAAAGATATCTCTGACGCGAACGTGTTTTTGAATTGCATCTAAGGTGTCCATTATTATGGTGGCGATTGTCGATATCATATCCGTATCATAATAGATGCAATTCGTTATTAAGGCATTCATGAGTACGGGAGACGAGTTTTTGATGACACCGACGTACTGCTGTTTGGTCGCGCGTATTTTTTTTGATTGAGCGTGCACCAGGGTCTGTATAAAGAAAATCAAGTAGACATCTTCTCAACGCATGATAAAGCTTGAGAGCAGTTTCGTTTACAGTGGTTTTATGATTTAACAATGTCGAAGATCCTTTTTCTTCTTCTTGGTGGAGACTCAATGTGGCTCTAAGCTTACACAAGATGTCGTTAACTTTTCTTTCTCTAAATAAAGGTAGTAAGGTGAATGCTGCATCTAACGATAACATGTTAGTAAAGTGGAGTGGATGTATGTAGTCTATATCTTTTCTACTATACAAAATCTTTACGTAATTTGGTATCTCTTTAATATCGAGATATCGATGTTTTTTAACAACCGTATGAATATACTTTTCGAATTTTTTTTTATCTTGCGAGATAGAACTTTCATGCAATTTTATGGTAATGTTGGACTCGTTATGGTTAGTGTTATTCGATGTTACTGTATCTGTTAACATCTTTGCAAATTCCAGTATCGTCTGAGGTGTTATTATCTAGTAGTAGTATTATTAGTGTTTTCGTTAACGCGTTCTTGTGTTGCTGTATTTTCTTCGGTCTCCATAATTTCTTCTTGGTTATGCTGTTTTCTTGGTACATTAGACGTCTTTATAGCAACACTATTAGAGAGATCTTGAATTTTATTATTATACATATTTATAATATCTCTACACCTATTTATGCAGTCGTCTTTTATATTATTACATTCGAACATATATTTGTTGTGTTCATCAAAAAAATAAACGATATATTCAGAGTTCTCACCTAAATTTTTTTTGTATTGTTCATAATCTTCGGTCTCGTTGAATATCGCATTTAGATTCTCATTAATTCGCACTATATCGTTTTTAGACATATATAAATTGCATAAATTAAAAATTTCGTTTTTGTCTGTTAACTGTTTTAACTTAAGATCGAAATTACTTATTTTTCTATTTAAATCGACTTGAAGATTAGATATAACCTGCTGTATATTTTTATGAATATGTTCTACCATATTCTTGTAATTGTTGTAGAGAAGCTTCCGTACTATTTCTTCTCTAACAACATATTTATCATCTCTAATGGTTGCGCTCAGCAGCGACGGCTGTGTCGGCGGTGGCGGTTGTGTCGTTGGCGGCGTGTCGGCGGCAGCGGTTATGTCGGCTGTGGTTGGCGGCGGCGGCAGCTGTGTCGTTGGCGGCAGCAGCAACGGCTGTGTCGTTGGCGGTGGCAGCGGCGACAGCGGCTGTGTCGTTGGTGTCGTTGGCGGCAGCAGCGGCGGCTGTGTCGTTGGCGGCAGCAGCAGCGGCGGCTGTGTCGTTGGCGGCAGTGTCGGCAGCGGTTGCTGCGACTGCAATGACGGGTTGTAACAGGTCTCTGGTAAGGACACGACTGATATTTCTCTGATGTGTTTTTTTTTTTTTTTTTTTTTTTTTTTTGATGCTGCAAGTGGTGGTGATGCCATTGAACAAGACGAGTTAGCCCTTATATTATATATTTGTGCTTTTTTTTCATCTACAATTAATTTTGTAGTGGTTGGCTGTGTCGGCAGCGGCGTGTCGGCGGCGGCTGTGTCGTTGGCGGCGGCAGCAGCAGCTGTGTCGTTGGCGGCGGCAGCAGCAGCTGTGTCGTTGGCGGCGGCAGTGTCGGCAGCGGTTGCTGCGACTGCAATGACGGGTTGTAACGGCGGCAGCAGCGGCTGTGTCGTTGGCGGCGGCTGTGTCGTTGGTGTCGTTGGCGGCGGCTGTGTCGTTGGTGTCGTTGGCGGCAGCAGCAGTGTGTCGTTGGCGGCTGTGTCGTTGGTGGTGGCGTGTGTGTCGTTGCAGCAGCAGCAGCGGCTGTGTCGTTGGTGTCGTTAGCAGCAGCAGCGGCTGTGTCGTTGGCGGTGGCTGTGTCGTTGGCGGCAGCAGCAGCGGCTGTGTCGTTGGCGGCGGCTGTGTAGTTGACGGCAGTGTGTCGTTGGCGGTGGCTGTGTCGTTGGTGTCGTTGGCGGCAGCAGCAGCGGCTGTGTCGTTGTGTGTGTGTTGGCGGCGGCTGTGTCGTTGGCGCGGCAGCTGTGTCGTTGGCGCGGCAGCAGCAGTGTGTCGTTGGTGTGGTTGGCAGCAGCAGCGGCTGTGTCGTTGGCGTGGCTGTGTCGTTGGCGGCGGCTGTGTCGTTGGCGGTGGTGTCGTTGGCGGCGGCAGTGCAGCGCTGTGTCGTTGGCGGCTGTGTCGTTGTGTGGTTGGCGTGTGTCGTTGGCGGTGGCTGTGTCGTTGGCGGCGGCTGTGTCGTTGCGGCTGTGTCAGTTGTGTCGTTGGCGGTGGCTGTGTCGTTGGCGGCGGCTGTGTCGTTGGCGGCTGTCGGGCTGTGTCGTTGGCGGCGGCTGTGTCGTTGGCGGCTGTGTCGTTGGCGGCGGCAGTAGCAGCGGCTGTGTCGTGGCGGTGTGTCGTTGAGCAGTGTCGTTGCGCAGCGGCTGTGTCAGTGTGTGTCGTTGGCGCGTTGCGGCTGTGTCGTTGGTAGGCCTGTCGTTGGCGGCGGCTGTGTCGTTGGCGGCGCAGCATGTGTCGTTGGCGGCAGCAGCAGCAGCGGCTGTGTCGTTGGTGTCGTTGGCGCAGGCAGCGGCTGTGTGTTGGCAGCTCGTTGGCGTGGTGTCGTTGTGTGTCGTTGAGCAGCAGCGGCTGTGTCGTTGGCGGCGGCTGTGTCATTGCGGCAGCAGTGTGTCGTTGGCGGCGGTGGCAGCGGCTGTGTCGACTGCAATGACGGGTTGTAACAGGTCTCTGGTAACGACACAACTGATATTTCTGTGATGTGTTTTTTTCTGATGTTGCAAGTGGTGGTGATGTTGCCATTGGATAAGACGAGTTAGCCGTTATATTATATATTTGTGAATTTTTTTCATCTACAGTTAATTTTGTGGTGGCGGCAGCAGTAGATAAAACAGCAGCAGCTGTTGTTATTTCTTGTTGAACATCCATCTTTTCATCTTTTTCTTTCGGGGTATCTGATTCTTGTTGGATATCCATCCTTGTATCATTGGGGGAAAAATCCCTGAATGTATTATAACCCTCTATGATATTTGTGATTGTATTCAATACTACGGCTATTTGCCTTCGTAATTCATGCACGACATTATAACCACGCTCAAGATCTATGTGAAGCGCGTCAATTTTTTGCAATTCATCTGATATATTTTCTTTTTCACTGGATATGTACTTCACCATCAATTGTATTTCTTCTATGGTGGTGCTTAACACCGAGTTTTTTAATCTATCAAATATTATCTTTTTTATATTCTTTGCGTTACTTACTCCACATTTTATATTGTTAAGGTGATCCTCAGTATTATTTGCATAACAAATTATTTTTTCTATTTTTTCCAATTCTTTCATAACTGATTCTACATTACCTTTTATATTTATAATCTTAGTTTTTATCGAATTCCCATTTTCAATAATAAATGTATTTCTTTTCGTATCTTCATTGTCGTGCTCTAAGTATGCTATTTTCTTGTTTATGTTTTCAATAAACTCGTCTCTTTTTTTTTTTGTGATTGTATATATTGTACTTTTATTATAACGTTGTTAACCTCTTTAGTTATTTGGTTTAAAAGATTTCCTATCTTGAGGTTTTGAGAGTTCGCTTTGTTTACCATTTCTTCTATTTCGTTCATTGTTACATTTATTTCATTTTTTACTATTTATAACGAACGTTCTCATCGTCGTTTCTATCGTTTCGTGTTTATCATATATAGGGAAATCTTTTAGAAATTTCATTGTCATTTCGCATATCGTGTCAAGACTTAATTTATTGGGAGGGTGATTCCAGATTGTATTTGTCTTGTCAAAAATACTTGTTATATGTGACCGAAATAAGTTATACTTTTCCACATCACTGTGATTTGTCAATCTATGTTTTATAAGATCAAGAACTTTATATGCATCATCTTGTGATTTTTTTTTGAATTTCCATTTACTCGTTAATATATCGATAAATGTACGCAGACAAGACACATTATCAAAGATATATACGTTGTCTTTAATTGAAAAATTATCAGTGAGCTTTGAAGTGGTCAAACATGGAACCATATTCATACTGGGGTTGCTAGGGTATATTATGTTACTGTACGAATCATTAAAGCTACCTGATAGCTCAAAACTTGTATGAGCAAATATTTCCTCTATAGCTGTTACCATAGAGTCCCCCCAGTCTCTTTGGAATTTAACAACTGCGTCGCATTGCGTTTGCCATGGTCTGTTATCTATCAAAATTTTTTGTGACCTTTTGTTTTATGTTTATTATTCAATGTTTTTTCGTTAAATCTATTGTGTAAATTATCCCAGACAGTAATATTGATAACCTCGTCACCATCATAGAAAAAAGACGATATATGTTTCGGGTATCTTTTCCAACATAAGGTCGTTTAACAATATAATCGTCACACAAAAAAAGTTTAATATTTTTTTTTTTTGATCTGATCATCTCCAATCATCAAAAAAGGAAACTTGCCAACGACATCAGAAACAATCTCACTAATATTTACATATGCGTGTTGAGATAGTATACTGTTACACCTTTGTGTGGAAGCCAAGTATTGTAGATGAGTAGCTATCAAACAAGACACTTTACATGTCATATCGAAAAGTCCGTAACCCCATTGATAATAGGAAAAAAAAAGATTAGATGATGAATATATTAATAACAACTCGTCTAGAGAAGAAGCATACAAGAAAAACGCAAAAGAAATTAATTTAAAGCCTGTGAAAGTAATGAGACTATTACTAACAGTCAAAATATTTTGCAGACAACACCACAACTCTAAGAAAAAGGAATGTAAACATATTCGAATTAGATCAAGCGAGTTGTATTGATTGAACGACGATGATGATAACGCCGTCGCCTCTTCCTCATCGGATAAGCTGGTCAAGTAACGTAATGATAAAAAAGTATCAGCTATAATTTTTATGATATCTTGCAGTGTATTGTTATTATTACAGAATATGTCTTTTAATTTCTGTATTACTAAAACAATATCGGTTGATATGTCTTGATATTCTTTTGATAAAATGTTAGTGATTCTTGATTTGATACTACTTTCATTACTAATATTTTCATCTATGACTTTAGACAAAATAACGGTTTGAATATTTCCAAATTAAACCCAGGACCCAAAACCTCGGATGAAAAAACTTGATCGAAATTCGAGGCGTTACTGTCAACGAGTTTTACCAATCCGTTATATTTGTTATCACTTTATTTTGGTACAAATAAATGATTGTATCTTTAATGCATAAAGTAGCTTTTTTCTTAAGAGCCCATACCTCATCAACTGTCGGATCGATTAACAGAGGGGTTAAAATAGTTTCGTATCTCGTTTCAACAGGACATGTTTTTAGAGGTTTATGCAGTGTTCCTGTTGCCAGAAAATAGCTTGTCATTCCGTCTTCGGTCACAACGGGAGTTAAACCAGACTGCGCGGATCTTGAACACCTTATTGAGAATAGTTTTTCAACAATCTGTTCTTTATATTTCGAGGTAGCACCTGAATTTCTAATTTGTGAAAAAGCGATGCACATCTCTCTAGAACAATCATAAATATCACGGGCAATAATCTGAAAGGGAATATTATCAATATTATAGGGAATGTTATCAATATTATACGAACGCAAGAGAGGGAGAAAACATCGAGCGTCGGTTCTACTTAGAGCGGTGACCACGATAACAGTAAATCATTACAAGTAGGAAACTTGAATGGATCGGTATCGAGCTTTGACAACCCTACCATCTCCAGTCTCACTCGATTAATGATCTTTTTCATTATTGTGTTACCAGTGGGTGAAATACTGGAACCGGCTATATATACTTTAAAGACTCCAAAATGGATCGTCTTTAAATCTACATTTTGTTCACTATTCATCTCATAGGATATTAATATCGTAATCACATGGTCCGCTGTTCCATCCGAGTAGGTAAAGAGAAACTGCTTATCCTGAATATGTTTAACAAACAAAAAATTAGAACTGTACAATAATGAATGCACAAGCAAAAGAAGAATTAAAAGAATTTGTTGCGCGTATAATGATGTTATTATCCTTAATATTACGTGCAAAAATTGCACATCTCGTCGGAATAATATTATTATTATTACTATAGGACGATTTTCGATAATAGTAATTGTTTAATATACAGGTACACAAGAAAAATATCGCGAATCCATATCTAACACTCCTTCCATTTTCTCTTCTATCTCTTTGGTGAAGAGATGGAGACTCTTAAAATATAGATCTTGGTACTTTTCGACAATACTTAATATAGTATTTGATGATATAGACTGTTTCATACTATATGTTATAATGGCGTAGAATAAGAATAGACTCTTTTCTTTAAAAGAGTCACAGGTCTCTTGAACAATGTCTGAATCTTCAATAAAAGTATCATCATTCTGCCGACAACAGCTGTCTTCCAGTTGATTAAATATACATTCGGCAAATGCGACGCATGCCGATTTATTGCTACCCTCATTTATTAGTTTCTGAAGTTCTAATGAAAACTCATCGATATTATAAACAACGAGACCAGGGTTAATATACGAATCTTCATTCAGAAAAAAATTATCAAAAGACTTAACATTATCGATGTCAACATTATAGCGAAGTATAATACTTTAAATCTAAAAAGGTTTTATATACTTGGTCATCGTTGATATCCCTTACTGTAAACTGTTTTTTTTTTTTCTCTTTTTTTTTTTCTTTTTTTTTTTTTTGTTACTATTATCTGATTTGTTATCTTTTTTTTCTTCTTTCTTTTTTTCTTTTTTGTTACTATTCTCTGATTTGTCAGTTTGTTCTTTGTCTTGATCTACCACTTTCATGAAGTCCAACCATTTTTGTTGTATCTTGATGTTTCTTACTACACTTAGTATATTTTACTGCTGTGTTACCACTAATAAATTTGATTTTTTCTTCGGTACTGTTTTCATTGTTCATTTCTGTATTGTCTGTAGACTCGATGTCAGCTTTTCGTTTTCTGGTAGATACAGTGTCGTTAGTATTATAAGGACAACTGTTATCATCATTTGTATTCAATTTTCCGTAATCATTGTCATCACAATCTTTACCAGTGTTTGAAGGTGACTTTTTTTTTGGTATATTCATATTAGGATTTATCGCAGTTTTTTTTTTTTGATCATCAGTACGATGATCATTTGTATTAGATTTTACGTCACCATTATCATCTTTACCAGTATTTGAAGACGACTTTTCTTTTGGTGTAACATTATTACCTCCAGATTGATGATCATCTTTATTATTAGGGTATTCTATAGATAATATTTTTTTATTATCTACCGATATATTATCATTGTCGTTATGATCAATATCAATACAGTCGTTATATTCTAACATACATATTGCTAGATTGATGTTCTGCAGAATTTGTTGCTGTAACTGCCAAATTGTCTTCATGTTTCTTCTTACAACTATTTGTGTCATTGTTGTCTATATGTTTCCTCTTTTTTGTTTCTTCATTATCCTCACTTGATATATTAATTATCTATATCTGTTGTATATTCCATCCTAGAAGGATAACGATATGCAAGATTTGAATGAAAAATAAATCTTTATTTATTATATTATAATATATATATATATATATATATATATATATATATATATATATATATATATATATATATATATATATATATATATATATATATATATATATATATATATATATATATATATATATATATATATAAAGTAACTTATATATATATATATATATATATATATATATATATATATATATATATATATATATATATATATATATGAAATCCACTATATTAAAC